AATAATGAATCAAAATGATAAGATAATGAATGAGGTAAATGTATATACACATATATATGTGTACAGACGCACTCGACACACACATATATACACACATATATACATACATATATTCCAATGTATTTGTATATATTGATACGGGTGTATAAATAAGGTCGGTGGTCCCCGGTGCGTGACGCCTCTGGCCGCGGTTGAAGACCCTGCCGAAGGGTTAAGGTTTGGTTTGATTAAGATTAGACTTGATTAACTTAGTTGTCAGGGTCAAATCAAAGTCCAACGCGTCAGGTGACGTCACGCTGACGACGTCGGAAATTTCTGAGGACTTTTTTTTTTTTTTTAAATCTAATTGTACCAAAACGACTTTTTTTTTCCCCATGTTCCGTCCACGGGTATTTGCATCATTAACACAGCTGCGTTAGCGGCGCAGGTGCAGCGTCAGCGGCGCAGTTCTCTCCGTGTATTGCGGGTTAACGCAGCCGCTGTCTGCATAATGGACAACTATTGAGGAGGATGATGATTGTCGTCAGATATTCATTGAAACCCGACCCGCGGTAATGACGTGCAGTCATATTCATGTGGGAGCACACACACACACACACACACACACAAACACACACAGTTTCATCGGTGCTGGATACACATCAATGTGAATACACGTTGATGCCTTCACGTGTCATAAGACATTCGGTTTAAAACATGGCTAAATTATAGTCCAAACCAGAACAGACAGACAGAAGCTAAAGGCTAGTCACGCACACAAACACTAGACCAAAAAGTTCGCCGATAATATCGCAAAAAGTACGATTTGACAAATCAGCTAAAAGTTAGCCACTGGCAGCTAAGAATTTCCATAAATCACAATAATAACCTCCCCCTGAAAAACGATTTGTTAAAGTAGCTAAAAGTGAACCAAAACAAAATATGGCTATCATTTAGCCAAAGCTAATAAAAACTAAAACAGGATTTTAAAAAAAAAGGATATTGAAGAAATTGCAAGCTAAAGGCTAGCCACACACACACACTAGACCAAAACATCCCAAAGTTAGCCGATAATATCGCAAAAAGTACGATTTGACAAATCAGCTAAAAGTTAGCCACTGGCAGCTAAGAATTTCCATAAATCACAATAATAACCTCCCCCTGAAAAACGATTTGTTAAAGTAGCTAAAAGTGAACAAAAAAAATTACAAATATGGCTATCAATTAGCAAAAGCTAATGAAAACTAAAACAGGACAAACAAAAAAAAAGGATATTGAAGAAATTGTACATCGCAATATAACAGGCTAAATTAGCCAAGGATTTAGAGGAAACAAAAACTGCTAAAGGTTAGCCAAGACCAAGTGACGAGAGTGAGACAAAATGATAGCAACGCAGCTAAATGTTCACTTTAAACTTGGCTAAAACTAATCTAAAAGTAGAGCAGATTATTGATAAAGGTTAGCCAAGAGGAGGCGCTGTGTTGATAGCATTAGAAAAAGCTCAAAGTTACCCCCCCCCAAAAACAACACAGGTTTTAAAAGTAAATAATAATTTAGTGTTTAAACGAGAACTAACAGGATTCAACGTTTTTATTTTAAAAAAATTTCCTGGAAAAAGTTCCCAAAGGATCTGAGTTTCTACGAGTCTGTAGCTCTGCTGCTGAGTCTTCACTCACTTCAATACACTTCTGCCCCGCGTCACCCCCCCCCCCGCCGGGGGCATTACTGTAGTGTTCACTCATCGTGTCCTTTGGATTGACATGTGTGTGTGTGTGTGTGTGTGTGTGTGTGTGTGTGTGTTTGAAGTCTTGACGGTGAGTTGATCACACCTATCAGTTTTGTGCTGCTCAAATATTTGTGGTAATAAACGGGCCTTGATCATGTTTGTGTCAGTGGTGTAAAATGAACTCTGATGGAGACAGTGGGGCAGATAAGAGCTGAGCTGCCACAATGGAATTAGTTACCAGAAAAAAAAAGAAAAAAAAAAGAAAAACAACTTTGATATTCGGCCGTCAATACCAGGCCTTTCAGGAACTATTGATTAGATTCCAGTTCAGAGACTTTAATCTGATTCTGTTAATGAAGGTGGAGGGAATTCAAGAAAAGTCAAGTCAAACATGACTCAGGAATTCAGGAAAATCTGTTTGGTTGAACTGAAACGTTCACACAGAGAAAAAACTCTCCTCGGCTTCAGCCTGAGAAAAATATACATTTGAATAAAAAACATGTTTTTGTGCCCAGTTTGAAAAGTATAAAAAAAATGTTTTATTGAAATATTTTTTTCTGAATAATGGGGAAATACAGAAACATTTAAATATTTGTGAATATAACTGTATATTATATGTCCCTTATTTTTTACTGTTTGTTTTATTTTATAAGAAATGAAAACAGAATTCTCTGACTGAATTTGTCTTCTGACATTTTTTCAGTTTAAATCTGACTTTTTTTCCCCCATTCAAATTTCTAATTTTCAATTTTAATTTTCAAATTTCTATGTCAAATAAAATAAAACATTTTTTTCTTCCATTTAAATCCAGCGTAAAGTGTCAAATATTTTCGCTAAAAAATTCTGAATTTCAAAGAGGTTCGTAGTCCAGGTTTCTCCCCCCCCCCGGTCTCCCCCCC